AATAAATGATTTGGTCAGGATCAACAAAATCTCCTAGTTATAACAATGTTCCTGTGGATAGATAGAACGCAGTCTGTAATGCAGTTTCCAGCAAAGCACTAAAGACCAGGGAAAAAAGAAAAAAATGATGAGCAAGAGTGTACTCACATGCATATGTGTGTGTAAGATAGCAAGGCTACACTGAACTTCTCTTCTTTTTAAAGACTCTGATACCCATAAACTTGTACGTTTAAATCTTCTAACCCACATGCTCTTAGCTTCAAAATTTCCTAAGCTTTGCTTACTTAGGATTTGGGGTGGTAGGATGGGCATAATTGTATTTTAGAAAGAGATTTTAAGTTACTTTCAGTTGTCAAATCATTTTTCAAAGTTCTGTTTCCATCTCAGTTTTCTAAAAAACCAACTCCTTATCACTTGAAGCTTCAAAAGTTCAGTATCAAAGGTTTAGCTCTCTATATATCTTCTTTCTAAATTGGTCTAAGTATTTCTTCTGAATAGCTTCTCTCTACAACATACTATTTGATGATTGCCTCCACATTTATTTAGTACTTGTATACTGAGCACAGTATTAAAAGAAAGGGAGGATGGGAAGTTTAGATAAGATACAACTTCCACTCTCAGAGACAAACAAATACTTCTAATACATAAAAAGCTCATCAGAAACAGGAAAGCAAAGTGTTATGTACAGTATGAGGAAACCAGGCAGAAAACATTTCAGTAGGGTTTTATTATAAAGTATGGGCAGAAATCCAAAAGTTGAAGACTAAGGACATTTTAGCTATGTGTAATCAAAGGTTTGGAAAAGCGTAAGTGAACCTTTTGGGGGGGAAAAAGAGATGAAATAGACAAGTTTACAAGGTTATTAAAGGGAAAACCTGAAAAGGCTAAAAAATAATGGTAGTGGAAACTGGTAGGCCTTCAATGCCACAGAGAATTTTCAATTTTACTCTGAAGACAATTGGGACTTGTGAATATTCTTAAGCAGAAGAGTGACATGACAGTCCTAAATCTCCTAATTCTGTATCTTTGATTTCTGGCATTTAGCTACCAGTGCTGACAAAGAAAAAACTGGCCTAAGGTTCTATCACTCTCCTTGTACCATGATTTTTTAAAAAAAATCTGAATTACTACAATATATAATGCAAGATAGAATGTGACAGAAGAGATCAAGTCAATGTGCTCTAGGAATAACTGAAGAGAGAAAAAACAGCTAGGGCATGGGGGAAGGACCAGGAAAACTCATTAAGCAGATAGCACTTGAGCTAAGGCTTGAAGGAAAAGGATTTTTTTTTTTACGGGCAGAGAATTTATTCCAGAGGTGGAAAACTGATCATGTACAGAAGCAGGAGATGGCATGTCAAGTTCACGAAATAGCTAAGTAGTCTAGTTTTGCTGAATGGAGTATATAAAAAGAACTGTGTAAGATAATTAGAAAAGAAAGTGGGAGCCATACTATACAGGGCCTTAAATGCCAGACTCCTGAAGGCATTAAAAAGCCACTGGAAGATTTGATTCCAGTGGATAAAGAAGCAACATCATCATATTTTGGAAGCTATGTGAAGGATGGATGGGAAAGGTGACAGAATGAGTGGAAACAGGAAGGCCAATTAGGAAACTATTACAATGGTCTAGGGAGTGGTTGTAATTATAGTGGGGTGATTAAAAACTGATCCTAAACCTATTGTTAAGGTAAAATCAATACGACTTGACTAAAGACTAAACATCAGATTATGGGAAAAGCAGGAATAAAAGATAAGATTTTGAGCCTGAGCAACAAAGACTGGTGGCAGTAACAAAAACTGGAAATTTGGGAGGGAGCAGCAGGTTCTTTGCAAGGAAAGACAAGAATTCAGTTTGGACATGAATTTAATGGAGTTAATGAATTTAGAATTGGAATTTGGAATTTAATGAATTTAAAGGAATGAGGCACCCACAGAAAGTTGTCCAGCAGTCTAATAGAGACTGAAACAATTGATGATTAGGAAAAAGGGAGATTTGGATGTCACTTGTAGAAAAGTGACAAGTGAACAGGTGGAATCACCAAGGGGAAGGAATAAAGTGAAAAAAGGAAGCAGAACAGAGACTTTGAACAACACCCACACTTAGGGGGTAGGAAGAGGACAATGAACTAGAGAAGGAGAACCACAAGAAAGCAGTATCAGAGAAGCCTAAGGAGAAAATTATCCATTGGGAAAGCTTAATCACAGTGTCCAATACTGCAGAGGGCCAAAGAAAAGGACTGAGAAAAGGCCAATGATCAGGAAGTAAGAAGTCAGTGATGACTTTGAAAAAGCATTTTCACTTGAGTGATGAGAATGGAAGCAAAACTATAGCGGACTAAGGAATGAGTAGGTGGTAAGGAAATGTAGGCAACTAGTAAAAGGGACTAGTTATCTGTATGCTTCTTGAGAAACTACAGCTGAGCAAAACTGCCAAACTGGAGAATGCTTTCTTTTCTCATGTTATTAGTCTACACCACATCCTTCTGGATGGCATCATGATTGATACAAAGAACTCAGAACAGGTGGATTCAAGGCTGAAGGAAATTGTCATAAGCTTCCCGGCTAGATCTGAAACTTAAACCCTGATGGGCTTTAACACATACCAGTTTGGTTTTGTTAATGTTTCTTCTATGATTCAGTTCCATTCAATATAGGATTTTAATAATGCACTCTGGCACCTAATGTACAAAAATCTCATTATGTACAAAGAATACCACGCTATTTAAAAAAAAACAGTAAAAGGGAAGAAATGATAGAGAAATCTAGTTCTTTTTGAAGAGGTAATTTTTAAAGACTAGTAATCATGTCTAAAAGACATAACAAAGAGCCTGAAAGTAAGAAAGGTAAGGATCAATAAAGCAATCTCTCATTCTGCCTTGTATTATATGTATAGATGTGGCCATCACTTACCCAAAGTAGACTATAAATTCCTTAAAGGCAGAGACTGTCCTTTCCATCTTTGCATCCTTCATGCCTAGACTAGGGCCCTGAATGTACTCCAGTAACGCAGCAGGAATACATGCAAGGTACAGTGCTAAGCAATGGAGGAGAGAGAGATAGTACTTAACAAATGTTTGTTGAATCAAATCAGTTAGGTATTATGTATGTGTAAGATTCAAATTAAGATAACAGTCATAAGATTCAATAATGCTAAACCCTTTGGATTCTAATCTGACTCAGACCTACACTCTAATTATGTCTAGTCTTACTATACAGCTTAACTACTATTTTTTTCTATTTTAACTCTAGCATGAAATGTACTTATAAAAGGCCAGATTAAATATTTTTGCATTTGAGAATGAGAAAGCTATTCTTATTCTATTAGTTAACTCCCCTTTTGTCAAAGTCTATCAATGAACTGTTTCTTCAATATTCATCTGAAGATAACATTTTTCAAATACAACAGTCTTTATGCCTAGCAAATTAACACTTTCATCTCAAAGCCACAATGCATTTCTACTAAGAAGGTGCAAAGGAGACACCTTTAACTTATAAATTAAAATGTAGCTTTCCATTCAAGAGAGTAAGAGAAAATGGGTTTTATTGTAATATAATACCCTAATCTTTTTTTTTAATCTCCCAAGCAACTATGTGTGTACAGTAGGCATTTAAAAGTAAGGTTATTACAAGAATTTTAAGAGTCTTGTAGAAAATAGCTATTTAAAAAAAACCTCTCTTAAAAATCTGTAGAAGAGCTCCACAAATTTTGTTTTCTATCTTTTAGGAGAAAAAGTATCACCATAATCACGACTTCAAAGAAAGTAATTTACAAATGTTATAGCATGGCATTGTCTTCATTTTTATTAAGTATTTTTCCACTCCTGTAGAAATGTGTTTAACAGGACCAAGTTTGTAAATGGAACAGCAAATAGTACATTCATACTTCTCTTCAAAATTGCCTGTGTATGTCTTATCAATTAATACACATTTATTGTGCTTCCTACTAGGTACCTGGTACTGTACTACGCTGCTGCGGTATCTTTTTACTATACCATTTTCACTTTTATATGTTCCTAGGTGCTTTCTGAATGTTTGCTGACATTTATAAGTTAAGGTGTACCTGACCTCTCCTCTTTCTCACTACCTAATTCTGAACCGATGCTAAGGGCTGATTTACAGTTACACCCATGGTGATGTAATGGACTTCACTTTCCCTTAAAGTTTCATGTCCACATACTCACGCCTTGAATTTTTATTTGAACTGGAGGAGGCTATCATCAGTATTTCCCTAATAAGACTTACAATGCTCTTAATTCACCTCTAGGGTGAAGAAAACCTAGATTTTTAAATGTGAAGTCAACAAGACTCAATTCTGGCTCCTTTCAGCAATTCCCGCAGCAAACCTTTAGGCCCCCATCATTTTCAATAGAGAGGCGCAGTCCGAGTAAACTACAGGTCCCACCATGCACCGCTGCCCAGATCACGGCAGGTCTCTACGGAAACAGAAAAATCCTCCCCAAGTCCCACCTGTTACTTCGTTTCTAAACACCGCCCGCACTTTCCGCTCAGATAACAGCCCAAAACAAAGAGCAGCGACTCGGGGCCAGCTTCTCGAGCAGAAATTAAGCTGGGGCCCAGGCGTGGCATGGCGAGGCTGGGTGCCGCTGGCCCGACCGGGTGCCCAGCAGCCGCATCCCGGCGTCCCGGGGCCGGACGTAAGCACCAGGCTTCTCCGCCAGCTTCCCGCAGGATGCCCGGCCCCGTACCCCGAGAAGGGGCGGAGTGGGAGGCGCCGGCCGCCAACTTCTTCCCACGACCAGGACGGGATCGCGTCTGCCCGCGCCCAGAGCACCGGCCCCGCTCCCCGAGCGTAGGCCTGGGTCCCGGCGACGCGCCTGGGTGCCCGCACTAACGGCCGCCCCGAGGCGCACGCGGTTTTCCAGGCCCCTCGGCCGGTGCGGGGCGTCCCTCTGGCCGGTGGCCGCCCTCCCCCCGCAGCCAGTCCCTCCCTCCTGGGCTCCGCCCGGCTTCCCCCGTCCTTCCTTCCCCGCCTCTCACCGTCTTGGCGGCCTCCGCCCAGGTCCTGCCCTTCTTCCTACGGCCCTTTTCCCTCATGTCGGGGTTTAGATTGGCTGGGAAGTTCCCGTGTCCGGGGTCCGGCCGCCCGCCCTCTCACCACTAGCTCGCTCGCTCGCTCGCCCGCCCGCCTGCGCGGCTTTCCCCGCTGTGCCGGGAAAGAGGAAAGAAAGGGGAAGTAGAGCCGAAGGAGAGCCCAGGCCGAGGGAGGAGGAGCAGCAGCGAGAGGGGCCGCGCGCCGAGGTCTAGGGGGGCGGCCGGTCCTCTGGCTGCTGTTGCCACTGCTGCTGCCGCTGCCGCTGCCGCTGCTGCCGCCGCCGCTGCTGCCATATTGGACTCTTACTGTACAGACGGCCGCCGCGGTCATGTGACCACTCCCGCGCGGCCCGTCCCCTACTGTAAGGACCCCCACGCGCACGCGCGGTTCCGGCGCCGAGGGGGGAGGCGGGGAAGGGGAGCTAGGGGGGCTACACGTTTAGAGCTCTAAAAGGCGGCAGGGACCTCACCCCTTTCCTGTCCCCGCCCCTCGCCGACCCCCCGACCTCTGCTCTGGAGCATGCGCCTGGCTGCGCGGCCTTATGGACAGCAGCGTCCTACCCTACGTCGCACGCGCCGAAACCGGAAATGTGTCTGCGGAAGTTAGTCAATCTGCAAATATTTTGGGGTAGCTGAGCGTGTGGCAGGAGCCGTGGCCAATATAAGAAAGCATGTAACAGCAATGGCTCCTGCCCGGGAAGAATGACCCAATCAGAGAACCGTAGATTTAGAGCTGCAAGGAACCCAAGAATCTAAGCCAACTCCCTTTAGTATACAGATGAGGAAACTGAGGCCTGGGGAGGTGAAATAGTTTGCCCAAGGTCACAGAGGTAACAGTGAAAAAAGATGATAGATTTGGACCTAGGAAACCTGGGTTCGAATTCGGACTGTCACTCTCTGTGTTATCATAAGTAAGCCACTTAATCTCTCTAAGCTTAAAGTTTCCTCCTAAGTAAAACGAGGGAGATAGACCACGAGAGTGTTAAGGTCCTTTCCTGCTTTAAATCTAAGACCCTACCTGTTTCATTGCTCAGTCGTATCACTCTTTGTGACTTTGTGAATTGTACTGTCCGAGGAGTTTATTCTAAACAGGTTAAGTGACTTGCCCAGGGTCACAAGGCTAGTACATGTCAGGTCAAATTTACACTCAGGTCTTCCAGACTCCAGGCCCAGTGCTCTGTCCCCTGAGGCATCTAGCTTCCTCTGACCCTAAGTGGTGGTGGTGGTGGGATTCAAATCCAGGACCTCTGACTGTAAATGCAGCACACTTTCCAAAACACCACTAGCCCAGGCTTGAAAAGATCCCCATTCTTGAGTTCAAATAATGAAGTAGATTTAACAAAACACTGTAATTAATTCCATTTTTAGACCAGCTTCTAAATTACTTGAGTTTGATATTTTAGGCCCAGTACAACTTCATTGAAACTAAATTACAATCTAATGGTCAATAAGTCTAATGGCCAACTGTGTGGTAGTTACTAGTAATATAAAGATAAAATACATTTTTTGCTCACAAAGAATTTTGTGCAGTTTATTGGGAAAAGAGACAAAAAAAGCTATGTTAATTTATAATTTCATGGGTTGAAAGGTTGTCAGAAATGTATGCCTGGAAAAAAAGCTGACCTTTCACTTTAGGGAGAGCAAGGGTTAATTGCAGTACAGTGCCAAGAACATTGGCTTTGAACTCAAAGGATCCAGATTAAAATTGTTCTTTGATCACTTGCTACCTGTGTAACCATATGCAAGTAACTTAACCTCTGTGGACCTCAGACACTTCATCTGTAAAATGATGGAGTTGGACTAGAAGACCTCTAAGGTCCCTTCCATCAATAAATATATAATCTTATGTACTGTTGATAACCACACAATGATTTAAAAAAAAAAACAGAGGAAGTAGCAAGTTGAGGTACTCCCTGCTGCATATTTACAGGAAAGCATGGGCAAGAGACATGCAGGATGGGTTATTATTTGTAACAAAGTACCTATTATGTGACAAACAGTCCTAGAAGTGCAGTTACAAAGTTAAAAATGAAACAATCTCTGCCCTCAAGGAGTTTATAGACCATTAGGGAAAACAATATGTCCATTGATAACTAAATATAAATACAAAATAGATACAAAGTAATTTCTGTGTAAAGAAACTAGTAGTAAAAGAAATTAGGAGTAAAGCATTAGCTACCCCAGATATGAGTTAGAACGTTTTGTTGGTATTCACTATCAAAGGACTTAACTGATAACACCAAATTTTCTTACACAGAGCTGATGAGAACACATGAGTTTTGACTTGAAGGGTTGGGAGACCCCATTCTAGCCTCTGTTCTCTCACATATATCCAAAGCAAAGTATCATAGAATTATGTATTTAGAGCTCAAAAGGACTTTAAAAATCATCTGGCTCTATCCTTTCACTTTGATGAGGTCACCAAACCATCAGAGAATCGAAGTGAGCTCACAGTCATATAGCTGTTCAAGGTGTACAAAGCACTTGGCTCATAACAACCAGGTAGACAGTGCAATTACTTTGCCAGTTTTCCAGATCAGGAAACTAAGGCTTAGAAGGTCTGGTGACCTGCCTAAGGATCACACAACTAACAAGTTTTGAAGTTTGAACTTGAATCTGGCCCTTCTGACTCCAAAACCAGTGCTAATGCCACACCATGCTACCTGCAAATGATTTTGTGCATAGGAAAGGTCAAAAAGAAGGGCATGGATCATTTCTGAATAGAGAGATCGCAGAAAACATTATGGAGGAGTTGTGCCTAAGGCCTATGGTCTCATAGGAAGAAAAGGATTTCAAAACACAGAACTAGGAGAATTCCATTCCAAGTATGAGGCCTGTTCAGCTGTTTGGGGACAAGTGAGGACAAAACAACATCATCAAATGGTGACTAGTAAAGGTTAGTGGCAGTATGAAGTGCCTGCCCGAAGGAGAACAGTGTGAAATAAAGCTGGAAAGGAAGGTTACAGCGGGCTGAGGGTAGGGATAAAGGGAATTGGCAGGCATCTAGGTGGTGCATTAGATAGAGCGCTTGGCCTGGAGTTAGAAGGAGCTGATTTCTATACTTCCTAGCTATGTGACACTGGGCAAGTCACTTAACCCTGTTTGCCTCAGTTTCCTCATCTGTAAAATGGGTTGGAGAAGGAAATGGCAAACCGCTCTGATAACTTTGCCACGAAAACCCCAAACTGGGTCTGGGAGAGTTGGATATGACTGAAACAACAACAATAAGGGGTTTGACTATCACACTGACAAGTTTATATTTTATTTGAAAGACAGTGGGGTGCCACTGAAAAGTTTGGAGTATCAGAGTAACGTGATTGGATTACAGGAAAGTAATGTAACGCAAACAGCGTGAAAGATGGAGTCTTGCAGGAAGAGAGGCAGGAAGACCAGTTATCTACTCCACTGTCATGGTGACCTTGCTGACACAGCAGCTACAGCTGGGGGTTACAACTGGAGGAGCTTGTGCTTCGACTCCTGGCCACCTCTGCCTCTTCTGTGTTTCCTTCTGTGAGCAGACCAAGCAATAACCTGGCCATGGATATCTGCAGGAGGTAGCACAGCGAGATCAAAAGTCCAGAGGTCTGTGAGCATGATAGCGGTGGTCTCCACTCAAACAGCTTCTATGGTGTCTACCAGAGCGTTTAATTGTGACTGTGGCAGGTGCAGATAGGAGTGATTGACCATGGAAGCAGCTGAGCATGGAGTTCAGAGGATGCTGAGTTTTGGAGTAGAGCGACTGTACAGAACAGAGATGCAATGTGAATGCAATCCCAGAACATCATTATGTTCTGATACAGTTTTAAGTATCATTTTCCCAGTGGATTATCCAATAGTTACGTCAAATTACTAAATCCTGTTCTATTAATGCATGCCTGGGGGTTCTATGTATTTAGTATTTCTTCTGTATGTAGGAATAAATTGCCCATGCCATACCTGATTCATATTATCTGTTAAGTATTGTTTTTACTTCCCTTTTGAAGTGCCCCTAGACTTCATTGGCTGTAACTAAAATCATCCCAGGACACACGGGTGGGGGACTTAACCAATTGAAAAGTGTGACAATGTGAAGCTTAATTCCCCAAATTAAAGGCAAGTTTCCCCCAGGACTGAATTGAGTTCAAACAGTATGTCTAGACACAGGTCAGGGAAGGACAAGTGCCCTACTCCTGTGGGTCCAGCCATTTAGTCTCTCAAGACTACATTGGTCTTGAAGGGGTAGCTAGGTGGCACAGTGAATAGAGCTCTGGCCTTGGAGTCAGGGGGACCTGAGTTCAAATCCAGTCTCAGACACTTAACACTTACTAACTGTGTGACCCTGGGCAAGTCACTTAACTCCAATTGCCTAACTACAAAAAAGAGAGAGAGAGAGAGACTACATTGGTCTTGAGAGAAGATTAGAGTCATGTTGTGAAGGGCTTTAAATGCTATAGGAATTTTTATTTTACCCTAGACACAATAAGGAGTCATTGAACTTTTAGAACAGGGCAAAGACTTAATGAGACCTGTGCTTTAAGCCTATTTGCTGTTCCTCATCACAACAGTCCATCCCTACCTTTTTGCCTTTTCAAATGCCTGGAATGCTCTCCCTCCTCACAACTGCCTCCTGAATTGTACCCTTAATTCCATCGCTTCCTATTTTCTCCAGCATATTATCCCCACTCTTATCCCTTCCCTCTCTCTCTTCATTAATCTCTCCCTTTCTACTGGTTCCTTCCCTGCTGCCTACATTGTTGTTTTTCCTTCATTCTTGAGGAGAACCAATGGCATCACAAGGACTCGGGGCCTATTATTGGCCATTCTGTGGAAGCAGAGTGATTTGGGTTTAAAGGCACAGTCAAGTAGCTCCATTTCAATCACAATTGGCTTTTTTAAAGCCTGTTTGTTCAGAGCCAAATTTCAAGAAATCATAAATGAAAACCGTGCAGGACAAAGAGTAAATTGTCCCAACTTTAAAAAAAAATAATAAAAGTGACCAAAAGTTATATTCCTTTGGACAGAGCACCCACATGTAAGGGCCCCAAGTGGAGAGAGGACCACATGTGGTGAGAGAAGGAGGAGGAGGAAGAGAAGGAGGAAGAGGAGGAGGAGAAGGAGGAGGAGAGGAAGAAGAAGAAAAGAAGAAGGAGAAGGAGAGGAAGAAGAAGAAATAGCAGCATTTACCAACTTGAACTGGCAGGTTGGAAGCCCATAGTGCAGCTATTACTACTCACAGATTGTTGTTCATCCTTCGTTCTCGAATATCACCAATGACATCATGAGGATGATATGTTGACTTGCTTGTGAATT